ATGCCCTTGCATGTGTTGTTGGGTACAGCAATGATGGAGCTGACCTCCTTTCTTGCGTCATTAACGGTGATGGCCTCTAGACTTGCATAGGCCTTGGCGTTGGCTTGCGATGGCATACGAATCAATACAATGTTCTGCATAGCGTTAGGACAGATGAGGTCTTCTGTAATATCCGCAGCGGAGAGACGCGCCGCTGTCGTGAGGGCTTGAGAAATCCGGACGTTGCTGGATTCTTAATGTTCAGGCCTCAAAAAGGCCTAACAATGATTAGAAAATGCTCCCTTGGTAGATGAGCCAGCCTTGACGCGTTAGCGAGGCGTTTCTTCACGTTGGCGGGAGATTGGGTGCCAGCGTTCTTGCCATATGGTGGGCCTTGAACTTCAGTGCCCGCCAGGGGTGCTTTCGTTGACTTACACTTAGAAAGCGCCGTTGTCCATCCAGAACACTGGAATTCTTCGGGAGAAATGTCCTCCCCTTGCACAGTGACTTGCATAGCCATCTTGACAGCTCAAACGTGGTAAGCCTAGCGTTAGGCTGAGCTAAGCCTAACCTTAGGCCTAGCAACCTACTTCGTGGTCGAGCAAGAAAGTCCTTCAAAACTCGGTAAAATATCCACCCACCATGACAAAATTGTTTCCACGTGGTCCTCAAGACTTCAGGCGTCGACTGGAGCAAAAGGTATCAAACACATAGCTAACTTTCACACACAAAAAAAGGCGAACAAGCAGGAGCCGATGTTTGAACGACCGCATGAATCGGCGCCCCCTAGTGCCTCCCTATTTTCCTCGAAATGGGTACTTTGAAATCACGTCGTGCTTCTCGAGAAATAAAGAGCCGGCGATGACGCCGGCTGTGCGGTATTTTCAGTTATAATTTTTAGCAGAGCTGTGCTGCCAATGCACAACCTCTTGCCGTTAATACCGTTTCGGTGATCGCTAGCAACATTCATTCTATGGGCGCGGCAGCTGTTACTTTGCTTGTTTACAACTACGCTGATAATGCGTTTTAATAACACTAGTTATGAACATATGCCACTCTCCAGTCAGTTCGCCAAGGAAATGGGGAGGTAGGAAGCGCTTTTCATGGATACGTCAACGTGAGATCGTGTTCAAGTGTTCCCAAGTAATAAATTTCCCTGGCTTTCCAAAATAACTGTGTGGTCATTAAAAGAGATCAAAACAGTACTCGAATAAAAAAAGGTAACTGATATTTAAGTGAGAAGAAATGCTGTGCTGTTTTTCCTTTTTTATTCTTGTCTAATATCCATTAAGTGTTGCTTGAAATGGCGAAAAAAAGTCAATTTCTCGCAGGAACATAATACCATGAGTACTGTAGGAAGGCAAAAGTTGTGCACAAAAATAAAACAAAATGAAGTTACACTAAGATACATAGCATAAGCAGTAACAACATGCATGAGAATTCCTATTCCGGCCAGTAACTTCGTCGAAGGTGCTTGGCTGCAGACCCCATGCTGAACGGCTGCTGATGAACCGATGATCCGTCGGCACTGATAGTAGTAAGACGCAAGAATTCGACTGACGGGAAAGGAAAGCAGATGAAGCGGTTGCCACGCCTTAGCAGCGGGTCATGGCCCTTGCACGGCAATCACATCCTGCATTATGGACGGTAGTGACGCGTACAAATTGTCAATAAAACTGCGTTTATTTTGGAGGCGTATCCATTCTTCTTCGACAGCGCTCAATAGCTCATCAGCGGATGAACTGTGTAGCCCTATTCTACACAGCCTGACCATTCTGTCCCATGCGGCCTCAATGATGTTGAGGTCTGCCCTTTTGGGGACCCGTTTTAGGCACCGTGCCCCTCGCATGTTCAGGAACTCTTCAACAACCTTTGCAGTGTGAACAGGTGACAAGTCTTGCTGAAACAAGAAGTCCCCGTCAGGAAAAGGCCCGTCCAACGCGTAAGGTATCATGACATAATCGAGGATGTCATAGTACATTACCGATGTCAGGTGTCCCTCAATGCGGTGCAACACACCATGCAAGCCCATCACGGGACTTAGCACCCCAGACATTCACAGCCGTGCGCCCGTTCGATGCTACATTTTGCACGTAGAGGTGGTCGTAGTGCGCATTGACAGGGCGCCACACACGCTGCTTTTGGTCCCATCGTGTGGTGAACGTGGACTCCTCAGAAGAAGAACATAAACTTTATTTGTCGAATCAGGACGATTCGAGTCCGGCATTTTTTAGTGGGCTTGGGCACCCACCGCGGATTCGGTTCCGAGACATCGTCACGAAGCGGCTTCCTCGGCACGCTGGACGGCGCAGAGTTGTGCTGTCAGGTTCGAGCTGAGCAGTGCGGCCTTCCAACGCGAGCGGAGGCTAGCGGTGGAAGAGTTAGACGAATCGGCACTGTTCGAATTGTTTATTAGGCCCTGACACTCCAACAGCATGTGACTAGGGGTGGCAACCTCGCCACATGGCGTGCATCTGTTTGTAGTGTATATGTCTGGATACATGGCGTGCATGAGTCTGGGGTTTCTGTATGAATGTGTTTGTAATTGTCTGAAGTGTACCGCTTGCGTTCTGTTTAGCCTTTCGTGAGGGGACGGGTATATGTGTTTTTGTAACTGGTAATGTGTGGTGATGTCGTGAAACCTGGTCATACGATCCTCTCATGCCCAGATTTCTGCAGTTCCCCGCGGGGGCTCGTCGTCCTCCGGCGATGCTCAGTGAGTAAGGCCTCGGGCAACGCGGTGAGCCGCTTCGTTGGGGCTGCTCCGTCCGGTATGTGCCGGGATCCATAACAGGGTCTTCGGTTATCGAAGTCGACCTCTCTTGGATGTATGGTATGTCGTTGGAGTATGTGAAACACCTCTTGCGAGATGCGTCCGTTGGCGAAATTGGGAATTGCTGTTTGCGAATCACTAATCACGTATGTGGCACTGGTCTGTCTGAGGGCAAGTGCTATAGCCACTTTCTCTGCCGCTTCAGCGTGTGCCGTGTTCACAGTGAGGCTTGCGATGTATTTGCCAAGATGGCCAGTAACTACCGCCACGAAACTATTTTTATCGGTGTAACGCGCGGCATCAGTGAAAACCGCTTCAGTGTCGTTGGAGTAGCTTTGAGTAGTGCGTCGTGCCCTTGCTTTACGCCGTCCTGTATGGTGTTGGGGGTGAACATTGCGAGGTAATGGGGGTACGTATACTTGCTCGCGTACCGATCTTGGAATTTCGACTTTGATGCCGTGCTGCGTATGGTACGCAAAGCCGAGTTTTTCGAGTATGTGTCGGCCTGGGTGGGTCTTGGATAGGCGCTCGAGCTGGGCATCTTGATGCGCCTCCACGAGTTCCTCGAGGGTGTTATGCAACGCTAGCTCCAGGAGTTTGCTGGTGATAACTCCGGGCGCCAGTCCCAACGCGAACTTGTACGTCTAGCGTATCAGGGCGTTAAGCTTGTCTTTTTCCGCAACTGTCCATTTGTGAAACGGGGCCGTGTACATTAGTTGTGAAACAACAAAGGCTTGTATGAGTCGTAAGACGCTGCCTTCGCGCATGCCCACATGTTTGTTCGTGATGCGTCGGATGAGTTGCATCGTGCTCGTGGCATTTGCCATTATCTTGCGCAGTGCTTCACCATTGCCGCCATTCTTCTCAATCATCATCCCCAGTACCCGGATCTTCTTTACCATTGGGATTGGTGAGCCGTTTGATGATGTTAGTTTGATTTCTTGTTTTTCTGAAGGTAGGTAGTCTTTGGGCGGGCGTCCCTTTTTCACCGGTCTATATAGCAGTAATTCGGAATTTTCGGCCGAGCAGGTGAGTCCCGTGCCTACGAGGTAATGTTCCACGCATTCTATGGCTGCCTGTAAGCGATCCTCGATCTCTCCGTCACTGCCAGTTGTCGTCCAGATCGTAATATCATCCACGTATAGCGTGTAGTGCAGTACATCAATTTGATGTAATCGCTCGGGTAACTCCAGCAGGACGAGGTTGAAGAGCATCGGCGAGATCACCGAGCCCTGCGGTGTAGCCGAGCTTCCAATGTTGATTTGATTTGATTCTAGTGGTCCCACTCGCTTGCCTGCGGTTCTTCTCGTGAGGAAGTCTCGGACGTAGTCGTACACTCGCATTCCGAGGTTCAATCTGTCTATTTGTCGCAATGTGGCGTCGTGACGAACGTTATTAAAGGCCTTCTTCAGGTCCAGGCCAAGGATGGCTCTCGTTGAGCACCCAGAATTTTCTATGATTTGATGTTTTAGTTGCAGAAGAGCGTCCTGTGTGGAGAGATGTCTTCTGAACCCAATCAGTGTGTGTAGTAATAGGTTGTTGTCCTCGAGGTAATCTGTTAGTCTATTCAGGAACGCATGCTTCATCAGTTTACCTACACATGATGTTAGGGAGATAGGGCGCAGGTTCTGCAGCTGCAATTTCTTGCCGGGTTTTGGTATAAGTAGGATCTGTGCTTCTTTCCATGGCTGGGGTAACTTTCCCCACACCCAACACTCGTTAATAGAATCTGTGAGTTTCTCTAGCGATCTGCAATCGAGGTTGCATAGTGCCCTGTTCGATATTCGATCTAGGCCTGGGGCTGACTTGGTATTAAGTTTGACGAGGGCCGCCTCGATTTCGGAAATTGATAATTATGCGTCTAGGATGGCGTTGCCTTCTCCCCTGTAGTCCAGATGTACTTGCGGGGGCGTTTGGGATATGTAATGGAGTTACGCTTCCTGTAGGAAATCTTGCTTCGTTACCCCATAAGCGTGTATGATTTTGCATATGCCTTGCCTCTGTGAGGTCTTGGTGTTCGCGGGATCTAGGAGGTACCGCAGTATCTGCCATGTGCGACTCGTAGTGAGCTGACCATCCATCTGCACGCATTTCTCTTCCCATTGCTGTTGTTGCAGGTTAAGTGCGTGTTTTTCTATTTCTTTGTTGAGCTGTGCTATTCGTTTTCGCAGTCTCCTATTATGTCGTTGTCGTTTCCAATGGCGATGTAGTTGGGTCTTGGCTTGCCACATGTGCAGTAACCGGGTGTCTATTGATACGTATCAAGCCCAGCTGTTGGCGGCATCATTTGCGTCGCCCTCTCGATGTTCCGCCGAAGTTGGTCGGTCCATTGCTCAATGTCTTTCCTGTCTTCAATCTGTTGCTTGTCTCGATTTTGTCGTAGTAGTTCCCAATTGGTGATCTTCATTTGGCGACCGGCATTGTGTTCCTGTGGGCCGCCTTCTGCTTCTATAAATATAATGTAATGGTCACTGCCCAAGTCTTGCATGGTGTTTCTCCAAGTCACCTTTCCTTTATTGCACGGAAAGGCAAGGTCCAGCGTGGTGTCAGTGCTGACGCTGTTACCCTGCCTAGTTGGTGCCGCTATGTCAGTGACCAGCTCGAGTCCGGCGAGTTGCGCCGTTTCCCACAAATGCCTGCCTTTCGGCTGATCGTGTTTGTAACCCCTCGCCGTATGCACCGCGTTGAAGTCGCCTCCAATGAAGAGTTGTTGCTCCTGGGCGATATCGAGCGCTCGTTTGAAGAGGACGTGAAAGCGGTGTTTGCGGCATCTCGGACTGCTATAGACGTTGAGTACGAAGATGTTGTCGGGCGTCTTACGTGGTGGAATTAGTTCTACGGGGACGTTTTCAATATCCTTGACTTGGGTGTCGTGTTCGATAACCGTGAGCTCTCCCTTGACCAGCTTGGGGACGTTTGAATTCTCCTCCTTGCCTGTTATAGACTGGTACCCTGAAATTTTGGTGGGGCCGTTTGTTTCCTACAGAATGATGACGTCTGGCCGTTCGGGGATTGTTTTCAGGTATTGTTGTAGGTGCGCTCGTTTGTTTTTGTAACTTCTGCAGTTACACTGCCATACTGTATGTTTTCGTTTCGAAGAGTGTCTTGCCATGGTTATGTGGTACTACATGTGTGGCGCCACTTCGCTATGGGACGTCACTAGCGCGCTGCTGGCAGCTTCTAATCTGGACAATATGAAATAAATTCTCTCCAAGCTCTGCTGAATCGTACGCGTAATAGTCGCGGTGATAGTTTTCTCGAGACTGCTCACGCGAGCCTCGAGTGCTTTCACTCGGGTGTCGCCTGTTGCTGCGCGTGTACGCTTGGAACGTACTGACCTTTTAAGGGAGATAGCCGGCCCGCGTTTAGTATCAGGGCCTTCGACCTCACCGTCATCTATGAGTTCTTCTTGTGTTTCCTGCATTGCCTGTTGATCAGTCTCTCTGTGAGCGGTAGACTGGAGCTTTTGTATGAGTTCGTCTTTTGCGTGAAGCTGTGCCTGCATGCATTCTATTTGCTTTCGCATAGCTTGTATCGTCTGTGTTAACTGAGCTATCTCCCCCTCTATCTTAGTGTGTGCTTTGCCGCCAGCCTCCGCGTTTGTTGCGCGTTTTCCTTTGACCGCATCTGCAAAGCTCACCGAATCAGTTGCCTTGGCGTCCCTCGTTGGGGTCCGTCCAGGTGAACGGCTGCGAGCTCGGCGTTGCTGCTGCTTTCGGGGTCCCATTGTACGGCTACGAGATCAGGAGTGGCTTCGACTGCGTGTCCGGGATCTTGAGCGGGGCTTGCTGCTGGAATAGTCGGTGGCAGTGGCCTCTGCCTCCTCGTTGGCCCTGCGTCATTCCCATTGTCTCTTCGTCATGATGTAGAGCGTTTTGTACCTTGCACGGCAGTTGCGGTCCGCCGTCATCTGTGCGCCCCCGTACAGCTTGCAATGGGGGGAACACTGGTGGTTGGGGCCTGGGTTAGGGGCGTCACAATCACGACACACTTTGTCCTTGGGCTTTGGGCACACGTCCATGCGATGACCAAGTCTCCCGCAGCAGTGACACACGTCGACTTGCTTGAGATACAAGGTGCAGAGAAGGAGAACACCACCGTACCTGACGTAAGTGGGCACTCGCGGTCCTTCAAACGCCACTATGACGGTCGTGGTCTTACTGAGCCGTTTGGCTGCCAGGGCGTCAGGGCGTAAGGGTTACGTGCGTGAATGATGCTGGTGTGAATAGACTTGGCGTCTTCTTCCAACGGGATGCCTTTGATTATTCCCTTCACCGCGTTGTCTGGGGCCGTCTTGTACGCACTAACCTCGGGGTGGCGGTCGCCGATGGTGATGACTTGAAGCTGCCTGTACTTATCGGCGTGAGAGGCATGGGGTGTGCTCACGACGATGATGTTTTGATGGTTGTTGGAGCACACCGTGTCCTCTCCTGCTTCATGCGCCGGTACGCTGGCCGCGGTAAATCGCCGATGCGAGGCGCATGGTTCCAGTGGTGGCCACGTCGAGGCCTCCTCGTGGTCGTATCACAATCTTGAAATCGCTCCGTGGGAGTAGTGGCCTTTTGCTCTTTCTAATGACCTGCTGCTTGATGTTACGCGGTTGTCGACGCGAACGCTGTTGGTTGCAGTCCGCTCCCTCGCCGGTGCAGGACGGGGCTTCATTCTGGGTGTTGCTCTGCGCGTTTGCGCGGTTAACTTGGGTCTTAGGTCCGATGGTGCACCAATCCGTGCTCTCCAGAAACTCTTCTGCGGAGACATCCTCCCCGTTTACTTGCACTTCCATCGTTGATGAGCGAAGAAAGCGCCCGCGTCAGAGGAGACGCTCAGCACGTCTCGTCGTGTGGCCGGCTTGCGTGAGCATCGGGCCAAAGGGGCGTGGGTTCAAAACCTCTCGAATCCGGCAAAAAGTCCTTTCCAACCTTAAATTTTGGTGTCAGTGGAATCCTGCTCACTTTCCGCACGCGTTGTTGTAAAATTCATGGGCTGAATGACCGAAAATCACAGGCAAATAGTTCTTGGAAGATGGAGCCGACGTGATGCGCGTCCGCTCTCTTTGGCGACCAGCCTGGACCCGTTAGAAAAATGTACTGTTTTCCAGTCATCCGTTTTCCAGGAAGCGTGTTCTTTTGCGAAGTTAAGACACGCCGTCCTGTTAGATAAGGAGAGGCGCGGCTTCTGGGCCGCAACGTAGCTCTTCAGTTTACCTTCTGCAAGCCGTCGTTTTATTGTCGACGCACTTGCAGACACCCCAGCGGCCGCAGCGATTTCTCTGGTAGTACTGAAGGGGCTTGCCTTCGCGGCGTCGCGGATGTCGGCGTCCTGAGCAGCAGTCGTTGCACGAGGGTGCCGTTTATGTCGAGCGTCGCAGATGCGGCCTTCTTTCTTATAAGCTTGGATGATGCGATTTACGGTCTTATTAGACTTCCCTATCATCCCTGCTTTTTGACGCTGAGTGTACTGCTTCTGGGACAACTCAACTATCAGCAGGCGCTCACTGTTAGGCCCTCGGGACATTTTTCAATGTGATGAAGCTTTCCAGTGTTTCACAGTGCACGCTAGACACCGCTACTTTCACGTAATACGGTAATCGGCGCATTAGTCTGGAATTCCCAATTGAATAAAAACGAAGCAAGCAAAAATAGCAAGGCTAGATATCACATGTTTTGTGAAGCTCGGCTTGTCGAGCAGAAAATTTGGTCTTCAAGACATGGTGGCAGTTATCATTTTTGAAGCTGATATCACTGCAGGGTCAACCGAGGGCGAGCGTGAAAGAATATAGGGGTGATGTGCATACGCACCAACAGCCAAACCTTCTCCCGATAACTCAAAAATGTCACGAGCGGCGCTACTGTACAACTTTGCAGTGCGCTCGGCCGCGCGTTCGCGTGGTGCAGCTCATACTGAGTGCGATAGTATGTAAACATCACTTTGCGCCATCGACATACTGAGGCGCTTGTAGCGACATCATGGATCATGGGCTCCGCCCGGCCCAAAGCTCGCCTATGGGCCAGGCCGGAGTCCACGTGCCAACTAGCCCAACTTTCAGTCCTATTGGTATAAACCTATTGTATATTTACAAACATGAAATAGGCCGTAGTGGCACCCAAATGTCAGCGTCCGCGTTCCATCGTATAACTTTGATGTGGAGCAAGTAAAGTGGGGAACGAGATAATTTGCCGTGGGCAGAAGCGAAACCTGCGACCTTCAAATAAAGTGTTTAAGGCTCTACCACCACGTATACCAGCTGAGCTAAAATTCCCCCGTCCACCACTTCATAATATCCTCCTGAGTTTCAGCTATTGCGATTTGTCTAATATATTGGACATCAAATAATCCCTCACTACAAAGATCTTAGCATGCTTTTTTATTGATTTGTCGGGTTTAACGTCCCAAAACCACCATATGATTACGAGAGACGCCGTAGTGGAATGCTCCGGAAATTTCGACCCGTGTTTTTTTTTCCTGACAACCAGTTGTCCAATATTTTCGGACATATACTAGTGCCCTCTACAAAGCTTTGTTGAAATCGCGTAATGAGATCCCGAAACAAAGAAGAAAACATAATGACCTTAACAGACCAGCGTTCTAGAAATTTAACGGCGAAAATTAAGGTCCACTTTTTTGCAGTTCTTTATATTTGTTCAATTTTGAATAATTACTTGCAGTTATTCCAGAAATTGTCACAATTTTGTTCACTAACCTTGCTTTGGGTTGCTTCAGGCCCACTACTTAACGCTTAAATTAGGGTCAGCGTGCAATTAATTGGACATCATGCCATACAAAATCCACAAGCACCACGGAAATAATAAGCTTCACTTTTTATCTTCGTCATCTACACACCCAGTTGTGAATGTTTCAGGAAAATCTGTAGATCGAAATTCAAACCCGAAAGTCGGAGAATATATATATATATATATATATATATATATATATATATATATATATATATATATATATATATATATATATATATATATATATATATAATATATATATATACATATATATATAACTGTCCAGTAGAGATCAGCACAGCAGCGAGCCGAAGCACGAGCCGAGAGAGCCGGGCATTGGCGATGCTGCTCACCGCAGGCACATCTTCTTCTTCACAATCGCCCCCGCTGAAAAAGGAGCCATCCTGGCGACTTAAGAAGTTTCAGGCAGAGGCTCATGGTATGGTTTCGGTCGGGAAACATGGACGATGTCACATGCTGCGCACCGGCGCGTGTCATGAGATCTGGAAACTGGCGCAATTGGGAGCCAGTTTCCAACAGGAGAGGTTTTCTCCAAAACAGTGTAAGGCGCCTCGTACCGGGGGACAAGTTTCGAGTAGAGTCCCGGTGTTTGGTGTGGAATGGCGAGCCACACAAGAGACCCTGGGGCATAGCTGGGATCTGAAAAGGCGGTGCTACGGTGTTCTTTCTGGCGTTGCTGCTTTTTTGAGGTGAACGAACGGGCGAGCTGGCGGCACTCTTCGGCTTGTCGAGAAGCATCGGAGACTGGTGGGCACTCGAAAGCATCAGGACGGTAGGGTAGTAGGGTGTCGATTGTATGGGAAGGCTCGCGTCCATAAAGAAGAAAGAAAGGTGAGGATCCCGTGGTGGTTTGAACTGCGGTGTTATATGCGAATGTGACGTATCGGAGAACACGGTCCCAGTTGCTATGATCAGATGCCACGTGCATTGAGAGCATATCTCCGAGCGTGCGGTTAAACCGTTCCCTTAGCCCATTAGTCGGCGGTTGGTATGCTGTCGTTTTTCGATGAATGACGTGGCATTCCGACAGCAGAGTTTCAACGACCTCGGAGAGAAAAGCGCGGCCTCTGTCACTAAGGAGCTCTCGAGGTTCGCCATGTCAAAGGATAAAACGACGTAAAATGAAAGAGGCAACATCCTGAGCGGTAGCGCTCGGCAAAGCGGCTGTTTCGGCGTAGCGTGTTAGATGGTCGACCG